AGTGAGTGTCCGGGGAGGGAGGTGATGGTCGGCGAGTGTCCGGGGAGAAGTTGATAGTAATAGAGGAGAGATTAATAATCCAGAGACTCAGGCTGGTGCCTTTGGGCATGATGTAGAGGTGCTAGTGTTGGACTGGGGTGGATAAGGTCAGAAATCACACCACACCAGGTTATAGTCCAACACATTTATTTGAAAACACAAGCTTTTGGAGCCTCGCTCCTTCTTCAGGTGTTAGTGAGAGAGGTGGCATCAGACTGAGAATTTGTAAGTAAAAGATCAAAGGGTCACACAACTGACGAGGATGTATTAAACAAACCTAAGATGCTGTTAAATCTTTAACCAGTTAGAAGGTTTTAATTGGTTAATATGTATATGTAAATCCCTTAATTTCTTTCAAGTTACTGCCCTGAGAGAACTAAAGGTTTTATCAGTGTAAAGAAGAGGTGACACACATGCGTGCGTGCACATGCATGCACACACACACACAAATGTAAATTTATGGGGTGAATTTGTATTTCCAGATTCATTCTATTTTGTTCAAAAAGCACGCAATTTTTAGACAGTCAGTCAATGTAGCGTTTTATAAATTCCTACTTTAGAAATAAAACCAGTCTGACTCCAAACCAGAACACAAACAGGTTCTAAACAAGGTCTCACACCTAACATGCATTGTCTGACCTAAAATGTCACCTCTTCTTTACATTGATCAAACCTTTAGTTCTGTCAGGGCAGTGACTTGAAAGAAATTTGAAGGTTTACGTATACATATTAATTAATTAAAACCTTCTAACTGATTAAAGATTTAACAGCATCTTAGGTTTGTTTAAGACATGCTCATCATTTGTGTGACCCTTTGATCTTTTACTTATAAATTCTGTGTCTGATGCCACCTCTCTCACTAACACCTGTTGGACTATAACCTGGTGTTGTGTGATTTCTGATGTTATTGGGGACATGGGTGAAATTTCAATTCATAGAAATCCTATAGTGCAGATAAAGGCCATTTGGCCCATTGACTGCACCAACTCTCTGAAGGGCAACCCATTCAGACCGATTCCCCCAACCTATTCCCACATTAACTATGGGTAATCCACCTAGCCTGCAAACTATGGAGCAATTTAGCATGGCCAATCAACTTAAAGTGCACATCTTTCAACTGTGGATGGAAACTGGAATGTCCGGCGGAAACCCACACAGACACGGGGAGAACGTGCAAACTTCACACAGATAGCCCCGCAGGGCAGGAATCAAACTTGGGTCCTTGGTCCTGTGAGGTAGCAGTGCTAACCATTGTGCTGCACAATTCAATAATATCTAGAATTAAAAGCTAACTTAATGGTGACCGTATAATCGATGTCAATTGTCATAAATACTATTCTGGCTCACAAGTGTCCTTCAGGGAAAGAAATTTGCTGTACTTGCCTGGCCTACATGTGATTTTGGATTTGCCACCCATGTGGTTGATTCATAATTGTGCTGTGCAATAGCCTGGAGAGCCAATATGTTCAAGGGCAACTGGAAGTGGGGGTGCGACAAATACCAGCCTTGCCAGTGATGTACATCTGGTACAAGAATAAAGCAATTCACTAACACTGGCTATACCTCACCATCACCTTTTTGCAACTTCTCTGTGTTGGCAGACTGCTTCAGTAGAATTGAGTCCTGAATAAGCTGAGCCAAAATTTCCTAGTGAAACACGGGGAAGACCAAAACTTCACTCTGGGATATGCTATACACCACCACTCCTATTTTGGATTAACAAGAGAGTATTCACAACTGCAGCATTCTGTTCAAACCTGAATGAGCTTGCACATTTGTCTGCTCTCCATCAGAAAGATTCCCTACTTCTCAATATTATCTTGTTCGCAGCCAACTTCATCCAACCTGCTTCTGATACTTCCAGCTCTCATCCCGTATAACCTGAAGCGATCTATTGCATCCTTGTAGCTCTCCTATAATTTTTAAAAGTGCAGCTTTCATGGCCTCAGGCCGTACCAAACCATTTTGCAGCTAGAGAGGTACTTTTTGAAAGTGGAGTTGGAACTACAATATGGTAAATATGGCCATCACGTTTACACAGCATGGTCCCGTGTGTAATAACTATATAATCTGATGATTGAGAGAGAATTTTTTTTTCAAATTTCCTTTACCCTTCTTTGAAAAGTGCTGATTTATTTTTTGCATCCACCTAAGAGGACAAATGGAACTTTAATTTTAATGCTTTATCAGAAATATGGCATCCCTGACAGTACAGCAATTGCTTCATCCTACAATGGAGTAGCAGCCTAACAGAGTCTCATTGAAATCTTTTGCTTTTCACATATCCTGCATTAAATCCTGCTCATATACTACCTCTGTCCTTGCTGAACCACATTGACTTTATATGCCTCAATGCTGTAAATTTGAAATTGTCACTCTTGTATTCCAACATAGTTTGTGACTTTGCCGTTCACTAACTCCCAAGGCCCCTCACCTCTGCTTGTCATTTGGCTGGACGAAGTAAGGATAGCACTTTACTTTCTCTTATGACCTTGGTGTGACAATCTGTTAGTTACCAGACGGCCATTAATGACACTAGTTTTTCAAATCCTGATTTCCTTTAGTATCTCACCACAGTGCCCAGCTGCTGTGGTGGGATATGAAATTATGTTTTTGGAGTTCCAGTCTTGTAAATTAACAATTGATGAATCTCTTCTTTTGTACCCATGGCTTGATGCTGAGATCACCATCTTTGAAATCTCAAAGGCAGGACATCAGTTGTAAGTTTATTGTGTATTTGTGCTCATAATTATTTGTCACTTCCTTTATCAGTTGATAAATGTACAACAACAAAAATGGAAAACTTTGTCCTTTATGAGGAAATTGGAAAAGGAAATAAGTCAACCGTTTACAAAGGCAGAAGAAAGGGAACTATCAACTTTGTAGCAATTTTATGTATTGACAAATCAAAACGGCCAGAGATCACGAACAGAGTAAGTATTACTTGATCATAGCATTAGAATTTGAATTCCCTGATAATTCAGAAAGCATATTGGCACTGAGCATTGCAGACCTAATATATTGTCAACAGAATAGGCCTTGGCTTCTTGAATTTATGTTGCTAATCTGGGCTGTGCTGCTTTAGTTCTGTTGGACATAATTATGCTTTTATATAGGAATATAGTGGTAGAGATTTAGGAGATTGAATGTTAAACTAGCTGATCTCCATTGTGCAAGAGAGGGATACTGTCTTTGTGATGCTAGAATAACAAAGAGAGAAATAATTTCCCCAGGAGCCTGACTCCTGCCCAGTGATGGCTACTGGAAGTTCAAATGTATGAACATCAAGTGAGACCTGAGTCAGATTGGACTGTAACATCAACAAGGGCCAGCCTGCACTCATTGTCAAGGTTGACAAGATGAGTAGATACATCAACAAACTACTGAATGGCTGCTGGCGTTGTGAAATTTTTCTCAGCAGCTACCACCGTCGTCAGGTAAAGGTAGAATGTTGGCAGAAGATTGGGTACCCCATAGTGGTCCTTCGCAAATAGTTTTTAAAATGTAATAATTGATTGAAAAAATTTGTGAGAGGTGATAGAGTGTGAATGTCTTATATTGGTGGAAAGTAGGCATTATTTTTCTCATTCTTCACCTTTTGAATTAACATAAAGTTGTCATAACAAATACAAAGTACATAATCGTAACTTGCCTTTTCTCATCCATTTTAGGTCACGTTCATATTTCTTTTTGGGGTATTATTGCACTGGTGCTAATTGAGTGGACCTTATCTTGTGTATAAGCTGAGACTAAATGTGAGGTACTGCATTTTGGAAAGGCAAATCAGGGCAGGACTTATACACTTAATGGTAAGGTCCTGGGGAGTGTTACTGAACAAAGAGACCTTGGAGTGCAGGTTCATAGTTCCTCGAAAATGGAGTCACAGGTAGATAGGATAATGAAGAAGGTATTTGGTTTGCTTGCCTTTAATGATCTGTGTATTGTGTATAGGAGTTAGGAGGTCGTGCCACGGCTGTACAGGACATTGGTTAGGCCAAATTTGGAATGCTGCATGCAAGTCTGGTCTCCCTACTATAGGAAGGATGTTGTGAAACTGGAAAGGGTTCAGAAAAGATTTACAACGATGTTGCCAGGAATTGAGGGGTTGAGCTATAGGGAGAGGGTGAATAGGCTGGGCTATTTTCCTTGGAGTTTCAGAGGCTGAGGGGTGACCTTATAGAGGTTTATAAAATCATGAGAGGCATGGATAGGGTAAACAGACATGGTCTTTTCCCCAGGGTTCCATTTGAGATTTCAAAAACTAGAGGGCATAGCTGAGAGGGGAAAGATTTAAAAGGGACCTAAGGGATAACTTTTTCACACAGAGGGTGGTGAGTGTATGGAATGAGCTGCCAGAGGAAGAGGCGGAGGCTGGTGTAATGGAGATAACAAGGTGTAGAGCTGGATGAACACAGTAGGCCAAGCAGCATCGGAGGAGGAGGAAGGCTGACGTTTCGGGCCTAGACCCTTCTTCAGAAATGGCGGGGGGGAAGGGGGTTCTGAAATAAATAGGGAGAGGTGGATAGAAGATGGATAGAGGAGAATATAGGTGGAGAGGAGACAGACAGGTCGAAGAGGCGGGTCGG